CAACATTAACAGCTTGTGTAATTTATATTTTCTTATTTCTTTTCTTTATTTATTTTTAGAGTAGAATTTTAAGATTTATAAATATTCAAGGAAATTTATTTTCTCCTTACGCTTTTTTATTATTTTTATACGTTCGTTGACTTATCTCTCTAGCCATAGTTTCTCTTGAGCAATTCCATGGATTCCTCCATGGATTGCCCTTGAGTTTGTTACTTTGATTTATAAAGATAATTTTATTTCTTTCATTTAATTATGCTTTCGTTATTAGATTTATTTTTAATTATTTATTTTTAATAAGAGTTTGAATCGAAAGATCTTAGTTTTAGAGGCTTACCTACCATTGGCAATTCTGATTATGTTAGCGACCGAACTGCATAGGTTGAATTGAGAGCGTTAAGACCCGACCGTCTAGATACCTGATTGATTGAATTGTTATTAATTTTGATAGATTTAGAACTATAAGATGGTGAACCATAACCCTAGGTGTTTTCTTTTATTGATTTTTGTTCATATTTTCATTAGTTTAGACTTTCTATCCTAATTTCGTGACATAATTTAGTTTCTCCAAAATTCTTAGAGCTTATTAAATAGTCTTCTCTCTCTGTGGATTTGTTATTAGTTGGATTTGTATTATTTTGGACACAGTTTACCTGCCACATCGAGTGTAAAGGAAATAACAACAAATATCCAAAGGATCCAACTACAATAAATTTTTCCGCAAATGTTAGAGACAGTGATAATTGTGGACAATATCCGTTAGATGTTATAGGAGTCCATGTGAAATGAGATTTACCTAATTGAGACAACTTTCTGAAAATCATGTTCGTAAGCATACACCATGTATTTTTAAAAGTTAAACCTTTGATCCGTGTTACAATGTGTCTGCAGCAGGCAAAATAAATCACGTTATTGTGATGAACATATCATTAGAATATGATACTAATCGCGCAAAGACATAAATTACCAATGTAAAGCCCAATCTCATTGCTGCGTAATCTGCTTTTGTTAATATCCCAGCTAGGTGCTTGAAGAATGAAATCTGAAAAGTATACTAAATCTTCCTTAGCAGGTTATACTTTATTTTAACAAAAACTAGTTTCAAGAAATGACTAGTGTATATTTCAAGTACTTGACGACTGATGAGAGATTAAGTTGAGCCAAAAGTCATGACATTAGTGTTATCTCAGTCTCCAATGTATTAAATCGAATATTGGAATATTTCAGGTTCGTTATAATTCCAAAGCTTATAGTAAGTGAGTTCGGATCTTTAATGTGGTTAAGCCTATGTTCATGGTATGTAATGTTCATAGATATCACGGCTGCGTATGATTGGTAGAGCAATTGTCTAGTCTTTTTAATGATGTTTACAAAGGCCAAGTCGCTTTTGTTAAGCTTTGAGTACCATACTTAAGCTGCTAGGCAACTTGCTTCGAAGTAGCATGCTAAGAGGTTGTTTCATTGGTCATACAAAACCATAAATTTCTATTGCTTTGCACCATATAAGTGTAGGATGATTTAATGAGACATGTAAATCTTCAACAACAAATTCATGAAATTATAACTAAATTAACAGCACTCCAACCTGTAAATACTTACCACATAATGTCGTTTGTTAGCATCATCACCTTTGTACCGCTCCTTAATAAATGTAAGGCTTCTGACATGGATGACTTTGTTGTTATCTAATGAATATGCAATTAAATGATCATAGACTGTTAGAAGTTCAAAAGATAAAATTGTTCGAAAACCTCAAGTGTATTCTCAAGGTTGATTTTCTTAAAATAGAAAGAGATACTATAGGTTTTTTCGGGATTACCATTATTGACATCATTCTTATTCTGCTTCCTTATAGATCCCTCCCACTTCTTCCAATGACTTATCTGTACCGTGTGAGGAGCATTCAGCACAAGTGATCTATCAGTTCGCCGGAGTTGTTAGAGCTCTCAAAGTTATCTAAAGTTATAGAAATTACTTTCACTTCTCCTAGGAGAACCGTCAATGTACAGCACGCCACAGGAACAATTGCTAATATAAAGATAAGGATATGGAGTTCATGAAGTACACCAATAGATACAAAAGAAACCTTGCCCTACATAATAACAAAATGTGGATGATTAGATTGCAGGGGATCCAACCGCGTCTACCAAAATATTTTTTATTAAGTTTGACATTTGATCTTAATTATTTAATGTTGCAGTCATAAGTTTGTTAATATAATTAAGATTCTAAGACAACTAATCACTTTATATTGTTTCATGCTAAACATTACTACCGCGCAGGGTTACATGGGTAATATGAAGATTACTCGAGTAAAGAATGAAATGAGAAGTTCCTTATGTTCATGGTAAAGACACTAATAGAATAAATGTTGAAACAAAATGAAAACATGCAATGAATTTTGCAGAAAAGATGGTAAAATTGATAATCAAAAGCCTTGTTTCTACAATTATTATTTTTCTATGTAGTTTTAATTTGATTATGTTTCATGCATCTATTTTTAGCTAGACAACTATAAGACACGAAAGAGTACCGATGGGCAGGAGGAGGTATCCTCAGCTAGGAGGCGACGTCCTCCATTGGAAATCTGAAGATGAGAGGTAGCTTTACTGGTTGACTTGTCATCGCGACAAGGGATCCACTTTTGGTCAAATTATCTGATATGCACTTATTTGCAATGTCATCTTGGAAAACAGCAAGCAGCAGAGATACGAAGCCGAACAATATCAACTCTGCAAGAGAAGTTTCGTTATGACACAAGCTGAAAAATAAGTAACAGAAGGCATGACAGATACAGGTTATAATATCTGATCACCTTCTTTGATCTTTTGCAAGGCCTTAATAGAGAGATTTTCTTTTCTTGCTTTTCAGCATCTGCAACATATTACATACATACTGTTTTTAGTTTCGAGAGATACAAATTCGAGGGACTAACTATATATAGTTTAGGGATATGTATGCATGGATGCCAACTAACTTAGTTGGTTAAAGACTTAGGGGTGTTATCCTAAACCAAGCTGGGATCGAATCCCTTATACTATACATCACTGCCTTTACGGCTCAAAAAAACAAAAATAGTTTAGGGACAGGAGGGAAAAGACTTGCCTGTGCAAGGTAACAAAGGATATTATTAATGACCCAAGAAATGCCAACAATAACTAACACCACTATGCCAATCACTCACGACGGTGTAGACTCGTAGGTAGACCTGTTTGCCGGGCTGGGCTTTAATTAAATGGGCCGGGCCTGGCTAGGGTTGAGACAAATCTGAAACGGGCTGGTTTGGTCCATGGACCCCTGGGTCCAGCCCACCCCGGCCCTTTCAAACTTTTATAAAATTAAATGGTTTTAAATTGTTAAAAAATGTTGTCACTTATATGGGTCTTTTAAATTTTTTATTTTAAAAATTCTTGTCAATTAAATGGGCCTTAGTCAGAAATTTTCAGTAAAATTGTGACAAATTAATCTTACCAAACCATAGGAGAGAGAAAACATCTTTCAAAAAAAAAGGAAAAAAAAAAAAAAAAAAAACCTCTGCTAGGAACATGGTTGAAGAGGTGACAATGACGATGATGATTTTTGGGTTCTAAATTCTCCCTCCTTCATACTCTTTTCTTGTTATTTTTCTCTCTCTTAGTAATTTTTTGTATTTCTCAATTCTCTTATTCAAAGATGAATTTTAAGTCTTCAACTTATTCATCTAGAGATTTTTAAAAAATAGAGATATTTTAAAAATTGGCAAAGTAATTGCTTAGATCTGTAAGTTTTTAGAGTTTTCTCTACTATTTTTATTTTTTTTAATTGTTTTCACTTGATATTTTGATTGTGGTGGATGAATAATAAGAGAGGATGAGAGGAAGGGTTCCAGCATTTAAAGGGTTGTGAAACATTAATGGTGACCCTTTAAGAGCCCGCCACAACCCATTACTAGCCCGTATAATGAAGGCCCGTTAAAAGCACAGCCCTTTTACAAGAGTAAACGGGCCTGGCCCGTTTAAAATAGGGCCGGCACAGGGCCTTAAATGGAGCCCATGTCCATTGAACAGGTCTACTCGTAGGGTAGTCCTCCTCCTCCTGCCATCCTTTCCTACCTATTGCGTACTCACTCTTCCAACTTTCTCGGTTACTTATACTATGATAACCATAATGGTTGAATACTATCCTTGTCACAAATAATGTGCTTGCACATCTCTGTTCGTAATTAATTAATAATGGGATTAGCTAGCCTAAGAAGAGTCAAACGTTTTTTAGCATTATTGAAAAGGCAACCAACGTTCCTAGTATATTTACTATGTAAGATGGAATCGAAAATCATTTAGAAGGTTAGTTCAATCTATTTTAATGGCTTTGCATGGTTATGTTTCACAATTGATGTCTGCACTCTGCAGTGCAGGTACTAATCGTACTATTGTTTTTACATTCAAGCTTAACACTAAGGTAATATTGTACATTTGTACTACATGTTATTCATGGTGGAATGCATTAGAATTGTTCAATCATGCACAGAAATTATTTACGCGATTGAAAGCCTGTAATGAACACTACGTGTAATAGTCTATTCCTATATTTTCGGAAGTGTTGACATAGATATGATTTTAAAATAAACGTGTGATTACCTTGCCATGTCCTTGACTTAGTTCATGAGTTTCTCTTAAAGATTGTCAAATGTAAATTAGAATATTACTGAAATAATTAAGGCCAACTAATTAAGGATACCATCAGATTATCTGGCTGCTTAGTACAGTCAAATTTGTCTGCTATATACAAGTATATTGACAGCCCTATACCACAATTCATCATTCATTATTCTATACCGGAAATTTATCATAGCAGGTAGGTGCCTCATATCGTGGTTTAAAATATAGTTTGAAACCTGAAGAATAATGAAGACCTTTCTTTGTAATTGTTTTTTGTCCATGTATGATTGACCATAATTAGATTTTTTGATAAATTCCTAAATTCTACTTGGGCTACTTCAGCTAGCACAGGCACAGTTCAGAAACTTCTTTGAAACTATTTACCATTGTAGATAGATGTTTCAAACACCAAACCTCGTTGAATGAAAATCACACTTCTTAATTCTTTTTTCGATCTATATTCAACATTTTGTTCCAAATTATTATACAATGTACGTGCTGTCAACTATACAATCCTTATTGATTGATGAATTTACTGCTAGCATCATTTGTATTTTGATTAGTAACAACCTGGGACAATGCTTGGTTCACACACTTATACTGAAAAGGTGCCTACTTGCTTTTAGATTTTATGACAACAGTGATGACACTGCTAAGGAAAAAAGCATAGCAAGTCCAGTTGATGTTTAGTTATTTTCTTTTCCTTTCAGACCTGTTATCGTTCACCCAGCTGATTGTCATCTCAGTTCAAGTTGTTGCGTTTCGTTCCTCAGAAATCCATGCCTTTTCATTGCTGCCTCATTGTAAGAACTTCCCATCTTTAGCAGAAAAAACATATTAATTAATTAACAGTAACACACTAGAAGTTAAAACATCTTGATATCGAGTAATATGGAGTAACTGATTTGTTTTGTTATACCTGTGTCACTATTGCATAGAGTGGTAGAGTACTATAACTGCAAATAGTTTGAACAACCACCCTTTAACACAAGAAAATGAGAGATGAGAATTACATTAGTATATTTATATTTCATCTGATTCATTAAGAATAAGGTAAACAAGCAAATTGATTTGTATTACATTATACTTATTCTACCATATACATATTTTGCTTCACCCATGACACACGAGTGGAAGCCGAATTTAAGCTGTTACATACAGATCAAAAACCATGATGTTGTCAGTATTAAGAAATTTTTAGTCCAGATTGACTTGTAGTTAACAAGGATTGAGGGTCTAACCAGTGTCCAGAAAAAAATTGCGAACCCAAACGAATTCAGGAATAGGATGACATGGATCAAGCATAGGACAAATTTAGGTTTGCTGAACCAAAAGTATTCATCTGATGGTTGAATTCTTACTTCTCCGACAAGCACGGAATGTCTTTGAGCAACATAGATAGCCAACTCTGTGATCACTTGTTCCAGTTTGGTGCCAACGAGAAGTAGGAGCTGTAGATACAAATCAGGTAACAGTTAGTTATATGTATTTGTCTAGTAACTAATGAAGATGTTCTAATATACTTTTTTTTTTTTTATTTGATCTGCAATGTGTTCATAAACATTGTGTTTACTTTATTTTGTGCTACTTACAATCAGGGGGATGAATGATAACCAAAGATATATGTTCCAACCTGCAATGAATGTTAATCAATCAAAAATGCATAAAGCCATATATACGTGTGCGTGTGTTAAAATATATATATTCCCTCCTTACTTGCTACATTGAATGTCAAGGAAGAAACAACCAATATCCAAAGGAACCAACTGCAGCCAAAAAAAATTGTTAACATAAGGTAAAGAGGGTTGAGGTCAGACATTATGTAGATTATTTTACTTGTATGGAATGTAGTTACCTGATTGAGACAACCTTCTGAAAATCAGCTTCATAGGCATACACCATGTACTTGTGAAAGTTAAATGTCTGATTTGCGTTGCAGTGAGTCTGTAGAAGACAAAAGGATCTCGGTGTTACAAAACATCAAACAGAGAATGCTGTGAAATAAAATCCATTCAAGCCTTCATGTCATTTTACATGGCACTATTACCAAAATGAAGCCCAATCTCATTGCTGTGTAATCTGCTTTTGTCACTATCCCGGCTAGGTGCTTGAAGAATGAGATCTGAAGGAAAAATGTGAAAGTTATACTGAGACTTCCTCTATGGTTTATAATATATATGTGAGCAATTAATAAGGATAGTTTCAAGAAATAGTTTCAATTAATAATGTCAATTTGTCATGTACTTAATAAGAAACAGTTTCTTCAACAAAAAAAAAATGTTGAGCCAAGCCATGATCAACTTGGTAATTCCTCAGTTCCTCCATTCCTCTTATGCTAAAGATTGTTTATTTCTTTTCTATTCAGTTTCATGATTCTTTTTCTTTGGAATTGTCTAAGTTGCTTCAGAGTTTCACTTCTGGAATTTGTGCTCCAAGAAATTAAGTGCATTGTGTTTTTTAAGCTATAATGAGTGAATTTTCTTCAGGGTTAAGTTTCTCATACCACCATACAGGTTTGAACTTAAACCCTATGCTTAGTTATGGGATGTGCAAGTTTATAAATTTCGCTCTGCTTTGAATGACTGACATGATTCTTGTCTTTGTACAATCCTGACATTGGTCATTTCTCTCTCAGTAGGTTTCCAGTAAAGGATATGTCATTAAGTATCATTGCATTACAGTAACTCCGAGCATAATTTTCGTATAGAAACATCAAATAGTGAACTGACAGTTGCAAATGATGACAAGCTTAGTTTAAGATCAACCTCAAGTGACTTAAATTTACTCACCGCATAATTACGTTTCTTAGCATCAACACCTTCAAACCGCTCCTTAATAAATGTAAGGCTTCTGATATCAATGACTCTGTCTGTATCTGTATGAACATGATCATTATAATCTTATATTAAAATGCTTGGAAATTTATTGGAATCAACTCTTAGCATACAGCTAGCTATCCTATGGAAAGAAACATGAATGGCTCAAAAAAGATTACCGTTGTTAACATCAATCTGCCTTCTTATAGATTCCTCCCACTTCCACCACTGACTAATCTACAGCTTGCAATGCACACAAGAAGAGAATCATTAGATCGGAAGCTTTTCATACTGTATGATGTCTCGAAACCACTCAGATTTGCATTGCACAAAAATTCACCTTCACTTCTCCCAGAAGAACTGTTACTGTGCAGCTAACCAGATGGACAATTGCTAATATAAATATAAGGTAATGTAGCTGATGAAGTACACCAACAGATACAAAAGGCGCCTTTCCCTGCACAGCAACAGATGGGAATGAGCGAGCTTGTGATGAGGCTAATGGCATGTGGAAGTTGTGCTTTAATATGCTTTGTTGTTCATCCATTACTTTGTAATATAGAACAGAATAGTTTACTGCTAATTTCTTATGGAATCATAGAAAGCTTGTCGTGCATTAAGCATTTTCTTCTGTTTTCATGCAATGTATTCCTACTGTTTTACTGAGCAAGATTACACAGTAGAAAGTTGACATTTCAATATCTGAATGTGGCAAACTGAAGACTAAAAAAAAGGCAATTAATTTCTGCCGATATTAAAAGGGTAAAAAATGAAGGATTCCACTTGTGTTTTAGGCAAACAATGTTAGCAAGACAGATTTAAGACACAAAAGAATACCTTTGGGCAAGAAAAGGTGGTCTCCTCAGCTAGAAGGCGGCGTCCTCCACTGGGAAGGAGAGAGATCTGAAAATGGGAGATATCATTACTGGTTGACTTTTCAACATGACAAGGGATCCACTTCTTGGCTAATTTTTCTGATATGCATGTACTTGCAATCTCATCTTGGAAAACAGCCAGAAGCAGCGATACAAACCCCAACAGCATCAACTCTGCAAGAGAATGTTGTGAGAAAAAAGATGCAAAAGAAGACGCGGAGCTAGAAGTTGGTATATAACCTTCTTTGATCTTCTGTAAGGCATCATAAAGGGGCTTCTTTTCCTTTCTTTTCAACATCTGCAAGCGTTTATATGGTTTTAGCTTCGAAAAGTGAGATACATACAGAGAATAAGGTCTGAGGCCTATGGGAGGGGTAGGAAGAGACTTGCCTGACCGAGGAAACTAAGAAGTTTTTCGGTGAACCAAGAAACAGCAACCATCAGAAACACCACTGCTCCAATGATCCATGATGGTGTAGACTCAAACGATGGCCCTCCTTCTCCTCCTGCCATCTATCTGGTTTTCGGTATCACCCTTTCCTAATTGTCTCTGTGATTAGTATCCTAACATAATGATAAAAATTTTCGTGATGAATGTGCTTGCACATCTTTGTTCAGGAGAAATGGTAATGCCTTGACTTACCAACTATGCATTAACTAGCTTATATTATGAAGATTTAAAAGTTGTCTTCCATGTTTCAAAGTCAATCCCAGTTTCGTTCTCATGAGTCATGGGTACTTACTTTTAATTGCTAAGATACTGCTATTTAAGTTGCAGTTGAAAAACATTTGAAGATTATTCATTTGATTTCAACATAGATATTTTTGTTTAATATAACTTGTTAGTTTAATAATATAAACCATGATGATTTTTGTGTCTGCGCCACAGATATTAACATTTAAGAAATATATTGAAGTTTTTCTCATTATTTAAGGTGTATGGAATCCATATTCAAGTAGTTCAGCACTACCCAATCATACACAGAGATTTCTGTTCGTGATTGAAAGTCTGGTTCAAAAGCTCTGTATCTATGTTAGCTTGTGTGGACATAGATATGGTCTAAAATAAGCATAGTCATGTTGTCTAACCCTTGACTCGTAAACTATAAAAGCCAAAACAAGCAACCATTAGCTAGATTGCCTGGCTGCTTAGTGCATCTTGATCTATTGCTATCTCATAGCTTACACTCATGCATAGCCATTGACCATTGTACATTATTCATTTCTGTACCTTGTTCTCTGGTTTCAAAAGTCTTTCAAATTGCTTTTTCTCCATATATGATTGACCATAATTATAAGCTCTATATGCCGCTCTATCATGTCTGCAATTAAAGAATTAATAAAAGTGCCAGCTTGCTTATGTGTTTATGTGTTACGATGTTTACTTTGTCATGTGTCATACATTTTCCTTCTTCTGCGTTTGTCAATCAAGTAATTAGATGCGAGATGCAGGTTTTGACTATCTATGTGAATGCAAAGCAAACTGCAGTTCAATAATACCATCTGAAAGCACCATGTTGCACAGAATGTTATTACAGCTATAGTAAACTCATGGAGCAAAATATTTAACAATTTAAGGGGTTGATTGTAACCTCTAGGAAAAATAAAAATCTTAGTACTTCTATAAACATGTACTACGTACTATATTTCCAATCTGCAAGACCTTGTAACACTACAATGGTGTTAATCTAAACATTTTCACGCAATGACATTCTTAAGAGTCGTATTTATAGGTGGCTTACAATTAGTCACACATAATGATTGCAGTTTGAAAGAATTCAATGTTGTTCCTGGTGATTGGCCATCTCAATTGATGATGCTGCATCAGCTCCTTCTGCAGTCCGGTCTGCAGCAGTGGCATTAGGTCTGTTAAACCCAGTGCCATATCTTTCCATAGCCTCCTTATTGTATGAGCTTCCCATCTTTATTAACGAAACAACACAATTAATACATGTTAGGATGATCTCCCCGAATCCCAAATTCATTTTTTTTTTTTTTTTTTTAAAGGAAGTAGCAGCTTTAAACGAGGAAGACCTTAAGTTGTACTTTGTCTACTTTGACAGCTTTTTTCTACTTAAGATGAACATAATTATAGTGATTGTCATTAATCTTTTAAAAATACTGATCTGAACATCGGGACTGTGGATTTCCTCCTTACTCAGGAGGGGTTCTCCAAGTAAGAATCTTGTGTGTTATTTTATTTCACTTTGTAGTTTATTTTCTCTCAATTGTGTTTAGCTGTTGTCCGCTCCCAATAATACACAACATTAATCACTACTATTTCTATAATGCAATGTAAAACGATAAATAGTTAGAAGGATGATATACCTGTGTGACAACAGCAAAGAGCGGTAAAGTGCTGTAACTGCAAATGGTTTGAACCAACAACCTAAAGCAAGGAAGTACAAAACGAGGTTAATTAGTCTATAGAAGTGCAAAGACTAATAAATTGAGATAAAGAAACAAGGTATGAAAGTAATGATACATTAGTATGATTCTTGAGAGCGCAAATATTGTTTTGCCCATTTCGCAAGAGTGTAAACCGAATTTATACTGTTGCAGATCATGTGTCAAGATCAAGTTAAGAACTTGAGATACTGTTTTTAGTTTCGAAATAGCATTTTAGTTTCAAGGTGGTAAGATCTAACCCATGTCCAGAAGTAGATTGCAGACCCAAATGAATTAATGAAAAGTATGGTGTGGATCAACAACAGGACAATCCTGGGTTTTTTCCACCAAAAGTAGTCATCTGATGGTTGAATTCTTAGTTCTCCGAAAACGACAGTATGCCTCTGAGCTATATAGATAGCTAGATCTGTGATCACTTGTTCCAGTTTGGTGCCAACTACTAGTAAGAGCTGGAGAGTGGAGATACAACTCTTTGTGTTAATACAGAGTAGTAAAAACATATCAAGAGAATCTACTTCATTACAGAGAAAAACAAAGAGGAATATGGGGCAAACAAAAAAGAACGGAGGAAGTATGATGTAAACTTCGGGATCAAAGCTTACAAAACACATAAATGATTGGGTAATGATTGACTAATACTGATTGCTTTATCTATTAATACTTACAATAAAGGGGATACATGCAATCGCTAAATATATATTCCAACCTGCACATCGAACAAATGAAGTTAAGACAATCCACTGCACCATACATTTGAAAAAGATAGGGAGTATATATCTATCATTTGTTGAAAAAAAGAAAACAAGATTAATTCCAAATAAATTTCTTCATCAAAATAGTCTATTATGTTAGATAACATACCAGCAACATTCAGTGTCAATGAAATAACCACAAACAGCCACATGAACCAACTGCAGCCAGAAATAATGCAGATACACATAAGAAAGAATAATTGAGGACCTCATGAATTACTTAGAAAGTGATTTACCTTATAGACACAATTTTATTGAAGTCTGCTTCGTATGCATATACGATGTATTTGTGAAAGTTGAACCTTAGATTTCCATCACAATGTGTCTGCAAAAGAAATAAAGATGAGCTCATGAAGCCGCGATTTTAATATTTTACTGTGTAAAAATCGAATGAGAAAAAGAGCAGTGAAAGGAAACTATACATCCATTCTTAAAAATGTGATAAAAATATTTTGTGTATATTTTCTATGATATGAAGTGTAGTTAAAACCAATTATTCGCTCTATTTGTAAAGATTGGATAACAATTACCAAAATGAAGCCTGTTCTCATAGCTGTGTAGTCAGCTTTTGTTACAATCCCAGCAAGGTGCTTGAAGAATGAAATCTGAAAGCAGAATGTGAATGTAAATGGTACTAAAACTACACCTTCCTGGATAACAATTAAAATAGAACTTCTAAATCTAAATTGATAGGGCATTTGAAATTTCCGATATTTCCATTAGCACCGTTTCTTTTATTGATAATATTACACTTATCGAGCTGATCTCAAGTAGCAATCCCGACTCCAAAGAGGCAAAGCTGTAGATAAGTTGTCTTCGTTCACTTAAATTGTACCAATTCCGGTATAGGGAACATATACTTATATCCATACTGGATTGTTGAGAATAAGTGATAATAACAAACTCTACATACCACATAATTACGGTACTTGGCATCATTACCATCGAATCGGTCCTTGATAAATGAGAGGCTTTTAACATCCAGTACTCTATCATTGTTACCTGTATCAACAACGATGCCAAAAAAAATAAAATAAAAAAAATAAAGAAAAAAAAAATTTAGATCCACAACACAAAGCTGGGAACATTCATAATTTTGATCAGAATCTAATAAAATAATAGGTTTTTAAGTTATTACCATAATCTGCATCAATCTGCATTCTAATAGCATCTTCCCACTTCCGCCACTGCAATATCTGCAGCTTGTGAATTGTGGTGACAAAATAGAACATCAATTAGTATTAAATTGGGAACAATGTTTATTGGCATAAGTTCATACACCTAAGCTACAGACGGCTCTCCTGCACTCAGAGATGATATAATGCATAAGAAATTACCTTCATCTCTCCAAGAAGAACTATCAGGATACAGCTCAGTACGTGGACAACTGCTAATATAAAGATGAGGTAATGAACGTCATGAAGGACATCACTCGATATGAAAGGTACCTTTCCCTGCAAATGTAAAGACAACGAATTAGGCCCTAAATCAGTAATTAATTTCTCCCTTGATCTCATTCTCTTATTCTATTTTGTAATGTTTATCGGTAAGGTCATGAATCTTAAAAGCTGTCAATTACAGTATCTAAGAGCATATATACTTTGCAGTAGTCAGTAGAGAATCATGTCAATACACTACTTAGCCGCTTGCCTTCTCATGATTTCTACAGATTCATGGTAGTAATCCGCTGACAATTTTCAGACAGTACTTGCCGGATAGGAGAGTGTCATACCTGGTCGCAGTTAGGCTCACTACTGCCAGCTAAAAGGCGGCGTTTTCCTCCTGTGATAAGACCGGAAGGGACCGAATCATCATGACATGGGAGCCACTCGAGCAAGATTTTCTGGTATACACTTCGTATGAATCTTATCTCCAAAAACAGTAAGCAGCAGAGATATAAAGCCCAATAACATCAACTCTACAAGATCAAAAAGTTGTACAGGACAGCAATCAGCTATCAGCATGCTACAACAATCAAACAAAGGCAAAAATTTTATCACGAAAACCACCTTCCTTAATCTTCTTCAAGGCCAGACTAAGAGGTTTCTTCTCCTTTCTCTTCAATAACTACAAACATGAAACATAGCACGCTATTTTAGTAATTTATCAGCTCTGAAACAACGTCGATTAGTTGAAGAGAAGAAACAAGACTTGCCTTGCCAAGGTAACTCAGAAATTTTTCGATGACCAAAGAAATAACAACAATCACAAAAACTACTGATCCTATCACCCATGATGGTGTAGACTTAAAGTCCAGCCCTCCTCCTCCTCCTCCAGCCATCTTTATCTTCCTTAACCAAGATCAGACGCCTAGTACCGGACTCCTTTAAATAGTACTCGCATATTTAGTAAGCATGATGTCTTCATTTCAATTACATAACAACATTAACGTGTACTATAGGGTAATACACAATTGACCCTTTGAAATTTCTACAATATTAGTAAACGCTACTTTCTGTTTTGTACTTCTTGGTGTTTATATTTATTGTCTGATGTTGACTTATCTTAGAGATGGTTTGTACTAATGTTCTCTTATTTAGACAGTTGAATTGTTAGCAGTCACTAAACAACAAAGAGTAGATGTAAAATGCAAGGATTTAAGTAAGATTTTGGAGTTGAAACTTTCAAAAATCGCCCTCTTAGTAACGGTTGTTGAACAATCCAAAGCTGGACCAAGTCAATTACTAAAATATTGAAATTCAAAACCTGGAGGCCAGACCGGTTATAATAGGACCAGACCTGATCTGACCTCTAAAAATTCAGATCGGATCGATTTGAACCAACTCTATGGAGAAAACTAAAACCATAAAAGAAATTTAACTGTTTACTTGTCTTTTCCAAAAGCCTAATATAGAAGTGATCATTTACTAAATTCATTTCAACATGTTAGAGGTTTTTATGCATAATTGTTAGCAAAATACCAATTCAGTCCAAGACAGGTTTTAACAAGGTTTGGAACCAATATGATTCTTTTGGTCCATTCTAGTTCAGTTTTCTAATTCGAGCCGGCTATTGAACACCCATACTGTTAACCAAACTTTCCAAAACACCACCTACATGGCCATGTCTTGGCATCGCAATAATACTTACAACCATTATGACGTCGGGCACCCCTTAAAACAGTTTCTTACACTATATTTAATATAATGAAAGTGATGAGGATTTTGATTGGCAAAATTTTCTAACAATAAGGACGTTAGTACGTTACACTACTAGATATTTTTTTTATAGGATTATAATGCTGCTTGTACAACAAGGGTATTTTCGTATTCAATTTAAAAATATTGTGAAAATTTGCATCACCAGAAGCGTCCTACAAATATACCGAGTTTCCTGTTAAAAGGTGTGACATTTTCAATTTAATAGGTAAGTTGATTTTCAGCGTCACGTACAGGTGCATATTCGGTGTCGAAGGCTTTGCCTCTTTGGGTGTTTTGAGATGTAGCTTCTTTCAACTCAGAGCAGGGGTGATAAAAATAACTATACTTTGCTGTAAATATTACAGGTTCTCCAATTTCTGTCTGCGTATGACTTCATTGCCGACATCAGGTAGAAGAAGCAGCAGAAACAAGGCTGGTGATTTCCACACACCATATCAAATTTCTGTGCTCCACTTTTACGCAAAAAGACTCCTCATAAATTAGAGGAGTTGGGGTGTGTCATGCGTATATCAAACTTGGTGCAGATATCATTTCCCCAGAAATAAAGATCCTAATACCCTTGCATTCCTCTTCCTGGTGTTCTCTCCTGGTATTTCTCCCTTTATTAACTATGATTATAGCCTGCATTTGTTGTTTACTTGCTTCAACTATATTCACGTTTGAATTACAATAAATAACACAAAAGATATCAGTTGTCCACCATTCCTGCTCTACCTGAAAATCTACAATGACAAACATCAAACCAGTGTCCTACCAGAAGAGGTTTGAAATGGTTACCATAGTCAAGAAAAAATGAGGCCTGCCCTGCTTTATCTAGATATCCAGAATTATGTGAGAAAACAGGTTCTATATGAAGGGCGGAAACAGAACTCATAAAGGTTGCTCTGATGATTCCAAAATGCAACAGTGCCTAGAGAAGACAATGGAAAACAAATTGCTCCAAAAAATAACAAAATTACAAAATTTCACAGTACTGCAGTGTGATCGCATGAGAATGGCCCTTCCTGACACTTTTTTATATAGCGTCCTTGGATGAGAGAATTTGGAGAGAGAACTGTTGTTATTATCATGCAAAATTGTTCCTAAACTAACAGATGAATTGATAATTCAACAGTGAATCCCAAATCATTCACTCACCAATGTCGGACTGACATTGAACATGGAGAGCTCTAGATAACCCAGTACAATTCCTTGGGCCAAAATACACATACACATTTCAAGGTAAACTCAATAGATAGGACCACCAAGAATAACAATAGGTATTGTTTCACCAACCCACTGTTGTCGATACCATGCCTTCATACATTTCTCAAAACTCATCATAGTCATCTGAGTGCTACAATCAACTAGCAAATGCTGGTGTGTCACATAATCTGTACAGTTGAGGTTCTTCATTGGTTCTCAACATCAACCAAACAAAAGCTATTATTAGCCGGATTCCTGCATAAGTCAGACTTCAACCATCAAGAAGAGCAAAGGTAGGCTGCAGCAGCACATAATCTTCACACTATTATTCCAAACGTTCCAGCTTAATTTTATGATCAATTGGTTACAATACAATTACAGTGCGATCATCAATTGCTCTCTAATTAAGATGCCCTTGTAAGTGAAATTCCAAACACTGCCAACATATAGTGTGCACAAAATTATATAATCAAGAACATACACAAAATAGTTGCTCCGCACTCCAAACACCTTCCCAATAGCGTATAATCAGGACAATCCCAATTTTAAATCTGACAAATGAGAAGATATGATCAGCCCGAGGAGATCTCACCCATTATAAAGTAACAAATACTTGCTCTTGATAACACGATATCACAACCACTTGCCTTCAAGAGCTATATTTTTAGAACCTAAACCTCCTCCTTCAGAGGTAAGACACACCAAAACAGCACAAGATTGTCTCTTTGCTCACCACTTTAAAAGTTTCTCGATACTATTCATAACCTCAACTGAATTCTTAAAAGGTGAGAGCTAGTAAAGAGAAATGCAAAGCAGGCTATTTCCTCAAGGAAGGTCTCTCTCCGAAAACCTTTAAAAACATCCAATACTATTATAATTTTTGTATCCAAAGGTTCCCGAAAGCCTTCAAAAAAGGATTGCTTCCAAGAGGCACACCAAATAACTGATTAAGTCTGGATTTCACACCACAGTAAAGCAGCAAACTCCAGAATAGCTAGGACAAACTAAGAATAGTTTATCTTTAACCCTGAAATCAACTTGATGATCTGCAAAATTGTGAGCACCCTCTTCATAAACTTTCTATATCTGCAGCTAAAACAAAACATTACCACTGAAAATGGGACACCTGGACTTTCTTCTTCCCACCTAAAATCTTCCATTAGTCCTCAAGACACTCCCCGCTTAAAACAATTTATCCAGCACTTCAGCTACAATGGCAAAAAGAAAAAGACAGAAAGTTCCCCTGCCGCAACCCCTGTCATGAGGAAATCACCGCACAGGTGCACCACTCACCTACCCTAAAAAGAAAGCCTGAGGCAAGTAACCTCTGATCCACCATTCCCACCAATCTCCAAATGCCATCCTCTCTAACCACAAGGATCTAACAAATGCTGTCAAGCAGCCTCCTACAATGGAATAGAGAGCAAAATTTGCCTTAAAATTAAGAAGCAACTGGAAGTAATGCTCAAAGTTTATGAGATGCCAATTCTTTTAAGGTAATAGGATCTACCATCTAGAGGCAGAAGTTATCCTCCAAGTCCTCAAGTATAACCAGTTAACACCATTAGTCACAATTCACAAAGGAATAAAAAGCCTTAAACATGATTATGACTATAGGATACAGGTGTGGCGAGAAAATAAATCCAGCCACTAAAAGTTGATAGACTCCAACAAAAGAAAAAATAAAATCGGAAATTTTTTGTGAGCTACCGAACACTATTTATTGAAGCAACTACCATATATGTTGGTTTTTATAAACAAACTACCTAATATGAACTTTTTATTAGTTCTTTGGCAATAGAAAAGACAGAATCTCTTCAAAATCCCCCCTAAGTACACACATTTCGCCCCCAATCACATCCAATTGACAAACCCCAATGTTAATTCTAATCCCTTAAATTGAAAACTGTAAGTGTGAATTTAATCATTTTCTTTTGCGGGATGAGGTGTTTTGGCCTTCTTTGAAGATGCACTTTATAACCTTCCTTTACCCTTGTAATTAAGCACGTGATGAGTATGAGTATGAGCATGAGAAGACATATTATCAAAATTCATTCGTTGTCGTATAAACCAAATTAAAGAAAAAGTCAAATGTTAGAAGTGGACCCGTAGACAAATAATTGGACAGTAACCGTGATTTGGTAGGGCCAGGACCCAAAAATAAATAATAAGGCAACTATGTCAGTTAGTTGTTAACAAATTTTCCATATTCCACTACTTTGGAAATGAGAGAGGCATTGGCACAATATATTCATTTTTTCTCTTCTTTCCCATTATTCTTTTTTTTTTTTTTTTTTTTTTGGGAGGGGGGAGGAGGGGGGGGGAGGGTGGTCATCAGAATGAATCTTACGGATGTGGTAGAGAAACTACCTTGAACCTTACATTCCCATCTGTAACTACACTTTCATGTGCTACAAATTTCTTTGTGGCTTATGAAAAACTACATTTTGATGTCATCACCAATTCAGACACACTTTGGATTTATCTATATATCTGCTCATGAGCTGTATTATTACGTAAGAAACTTGATGGCAAGCATACGTTGTCTAATTTGAAAAATCAAATTGCATATTGATGTGACACAATAAAAGCACCAAACAGTTCCAACCAATTGGCACTCGTACTAGAATTTTAGAAATTCATCCAGAGAACAATATACTGAATTAACCCCTTGAAGTAAGAACTGCAACTTGACATCTCAGAATATCAACACTTCTTCCAGACTAAGGATGGAAATTGAGTCAATAAAACATCTCAGCTTTACATAGCCACTCTTCTTACAATACACTTGTTTTACTACAGAAAATCTATTCAGAAAGTAGTTTACACAACTCCATTAAAATATAGGTCTTACTAGAAAAGATCATGTTAATTTCCTAAATCCTAATACAAATATTTATATCCTGTTTGAAAGCATAATCATAAAATCTACATCCATTTGTATAATTTTAAGTAATGATTAACAGGTATAATCATGAGTGGTCTTCTCATTTGAATCCCATCTATTGTTCAACCCTAAATAAGACTAAGTACCAGTTTTGGGAGAATCCTTCCCAAAGCATTCAGCATTATATGTGACCTATAGAACTGGTAATTTTCTAAAAATTTTAATCCTCTTCCTCTCCTTCTTTCCCCGCCCCACTAACCCACTGCACATCCTCTCCCCCCCCCCCCCCATCTCTCTCTCTCTCTCTCTCTGCACCAGCCCACTGCACCAACTGACCACCAAACTAACCAAAACCAGCCCACCCTGTCCACATCCATACCTCACACCCAAGACACCTCAATAATAATCAACCTCCCAACCACCATCAAAGTCGTCATCCAACCAACACCACCCTAAAAAGCCCCATCAGGATTCCCCCAAAAGCCACCACAACTACCTTGAAACCAGCCTACCCACCCCAACATCAAACACTCATTTAGCAATCACTCACGCCATAAAACTACCTTGCCCACCTAATAAATCACCTAGTCCACCCCACATGACCAAAATCCACCCAACTCCCAGATCTAAGAGAGAATTGTAGGGTGATAGTGAGTAAGTGAGTTGTCGGTGACAATGGAGGGGACAGTAAGGTTAAACAATAATTGAATGAGAAGACCTCCCATAGTGGAGATTATTCCTATAAATTTCTCTTATTTAAATAAAAATTAAATTGCATATAGCAAGAGACAATTGTAATAGTAAAAATTTACAAGGCTCGTTTAAATTTGACATACAAGGTAAAATATCCTATCCTATGAACATAGAAAAAATCGCTACTTAAAGAACCACTAAACATAGCTCGCACAAAAGGGAAAATATACTAAAGAGCTCAAAAAATTCTAAAATAAAACTTAAATCATTATGTACAGTCATACAGATTAAATTTTTTTTTTTTTAAGCAATCATACAGATTCAATTAAAAGACTTGTAATATCAATAAGTGCAATCCAAGGATCTCAATTCCTGTCATTTAAAATTTAACTCTAAAAAAATAAGGTGGCCAAAAAAGTTGCCAAAAGAGCTTACAAGAATTTTCATATAAGATAGCCTCAAGAGCGTGATCGTGCTACAAATTCTTCTAACTTGCCCCATACTTCAAGAGCTGCTGCCCTATCCTGATGTCGTTTGTTTTTGCTGATCTGTATCAATACATTTAAATCTTTGTGATATTAGAAATGATACACTAGTATTGAGTCTATTAACCCACCAATAGGAATTTGAACAAAAACATGTGCATATGGAAGGAACCAAAGGCAAGGTCCAACTTACCGAGATTATTTTTACATTCCATTGTTTCACAACCTTTGCAGATTCTATACTATCATCCTCAAATCGCATGTAGAAACCAATGACTGTCAAATACACAGTCAAAATTAGCCCAGAAATAAAACAGATCCAATGCCCAAACAATAATATCAAAATAACTACAGCTAACCAACTCTAACTTGCTACTCCAAACCAAACAGTGGAAGATGTCAAACTTTAATGCTTTAGTTTTAAACATGGTACAAATTCCATGATTTGTTCTCAAACCTTGAAATCAAATTTTAACTCTTTTAACAATTCAGTTGCATCTCTAAGTTGAAGATTAAACAAGAAAAAACAACATTTTAGATATGAAGAGTATCACTAAGAAAGCAAGAAGTAACCTTCTTAGAAAACTTTCAAATTCATCAACATTACCAAGGGCTGAAGTACTACAGCTTTCCCAACCTGATTTCTCTCAGGAATCATCATTTTTATGATATTATCCTAAACACTTAAGGAAAATATCACTGAGCAATTACACCAAAATGGCAAGGAATTTGGCCAACGTTCTTCTCCTCAAATCCTCAATACATATAGCTTAATTTACTAAACCTACACTTTCAACATAAACAACTTGGATCCTACACAATAAGTCCCAGGTGTGTCTCAATACATACAAGTGTAGCTGAAGACGAGCTCGTAGTACTCATGGAAAGATAGAATCTCACTGGGTGTAACAACCAAAGCATTACCAAGGGTTGCATTACTACAGCTTACCCAATCCCATTTCTCTCAGATATCATCATAATTATTCTCAACTCTTACAAGAAATATCACTGAGCAATCACACCGAATTGACAAGGAATTAGTTTGAAATTCTTCCCCTTAGAAGTTAAAATCTGTTACCAACTTTCTAATAGCTTAATTCTCTATTCTATACATTCGACATAAACTTATATCCTACTGTCCGACACAATAAATCCCACATGTGTCTCAGTACATACCACAGTATTTAATCAAACGATTCCAAGAGGAAACCGAAGTACAAGGTTTCTATTCTAGAGTTTTTTAAGAGCTTTTTTTTCTTTTTTTCTACTTACAAAACAAAGTAATACAAATATAACAAACAATTGCATGACACAGATATCAGCATCAAATAACCATATGAAACAAGCTAAAACAGCTACAGAAGTCAATCCACAACACTTCAGAAAACAACGTGATCATCAGATAACCAGATCAAAGTTTTGGCAGCTTACTCTTATTAAATATCTCAACATGGTCTTTGAAGGGCCAATCTTTGAACTGCCATTCTTTCCCAAGCACAAAAACTGCCACAACACGGTCCCAATCATCGGCCTTCAAAGTTGAGGGTTTATCCCTAACCTCATAAGCAGTCATGACCTTATCCTTATCCCTACTAAACTTCTTCTGAACCGTCACACATTCAGGCTTCGGCCCCTTCATCTGCTTCAACTTAACATCAGTAGGTATAAAAACACCATCCTCCAAAAACTCCTTCACATTATAAATAGTAATCAAAGTAGTAGAAGCACTAGGCACCAAAATAATTGGCACCCCTTCTCCAATCTTACCCCCACCTTTAAGCATCTTCGCTTTCGGCCCCGAATGAAACCCTTCATCCTTCTCCCCACCTAAAGGCCGCCCTTTATTCCCACCCACATTCGCCTCCTTCCTCTGCTGTGGCTTTTCCTGCTCCCTCCTCAACGCCCCAACATAAATTCCATAAAAATCGCGGTTACGAACCTGCAACACAGCGTTTCGATCCCGAAGCGGCTTCTCACTCGCCCTAATCAACCCCATCAAATCAACACCCTCACCACCACCCCCACCCCCTTCCTCCGAAACCCTAATTTCAGAATCATCCTCAATTCCCAAATTACTCACCCCATTATTGTTCGGAAGCGAGGAAAAGAACTGGGGATCATCGGGCCGATACTCCTCGACATCGGTAGCAGTCGGAAGAACAAATTCAATAGCTTCAGACGACGAAACCCGGCCTTCAAGATAATCAAGCAGAGGTTTCCGATCGACGTAGGTGACAGGAGGAATCCCTTGATTGGTGGAATTTTTTATGTACTCAGGTTGCTTGATATGGCGATTTTTTATGAAGAAAACTAGGGTTTCGAGAGTGTAGAGATTACCTTGCTTAGAACGATAAGCAGTTTCGGATTTACAGGGGAAAGAGTAGTGAGTTGAGAATCGGAATTCGTCTCCGACTCGGTGGATTTTGTCTAAGTCTCCTCGAATGGTGTAGTCTCGCAGCGCTGACAAAGGATCCATGGAAGACTGAGAGAGAGAGAGAGAGGAGGGAGTGAAGTGGAGGGAATTTGAAGGTGAGACTACGTTTGGGAAAAAAAGTGCGAAATAACAAAAAAAAAAAAAAAAAAAAAAAAAAAAAAAAAAAAAAAAAAAAAAATCATCAGAGGTTTTTTATCTACCGAGATTAATGACTCAGAGCATTGTTAAATGTTAATGGTGTGTTTTTTTTTTTTTTTTTTTTTTTGCACTTGGGGAGAAATAAGGAGTTAGGATTATCGGGGCATTTGACAACAGAAATGGGAATAATGAGAATAAGAAAGTAGGATAAAGATAGGGAATTAGTAGGTGGATAAGGATAAAAATTATGTTATTCATTGTTTGGTATGATTTGGGAATTAAATTAAGATAAGTAGTAAAATTACTTACCTATCCTTACTAATATTTCTCCTCTCTCCTCTTCCTTCCCTTTCATTAAGGGTAAAATTGTCTTTTATTTTCAATTTTAATCCCAAACCTTACACCTGCCACCTTGTTATAAGAATAGAAGGATAACTCTATTTTTTTATCCCTATCCCTTTTATATGGGATAGAACAATTCCCATTAAACAAACAAGGGATTATGAGATACAAGAGATTATTCATCTCTATACCACCATTTATCCCTGCAAACAAACAACCTGTACATACTCTAGATCATGTATTTTATATCAATTATGATTGAGTTATTTTGCCTAAACCTTATGTTATTTTGCTTAAATCTTGTGTTATTTTGCTAAAACAGTATGTTATTTACTTATTTATTTCAACAGCATGTAAAAATTAAAAAAAAAAAAAAAAAAAAAAAAAAAAAAAAAAAAAAGCATGCAAGAATGAAATAATATGTACTTAGTTAAAAATAACATATATATAAATTGAAATAATAAAAAATTCATATCAAAATAACATGAATTTTATAAAGTTGGAGTACATTGAAATGATCAATGTTGAATATATATATATATATAAACAGCATGCAAGTATAAATAAACATGTATTTATTTCAAAATAACGTATATAAAAATTAAAATAATAAGAAGTAAACATCAAAATAACATAAATTTATAAACCTAAAATACCTTGTACATGGACCAATTAAACTCTGCCACGTGTGATCCACGTGGACCAACCAGAGTCCGCCACATGTCACCTCGTGAGAGGACTAAGGTGGAGCAATCAGGCCGCGACACGTGGCAGGTAGATTGCCAACTAGAAAAGTGGCCTTTAAGGGCCCAAAAACCTAGTTAAGCCTAGTCAGTCCTAGGTTTATGAAAACCTAGTACAGGGCACACATTTTAAGACCCTATAAAAGGGAGATGTTCCCTCTGAGGAACATCATTAAGAGATTCCCAAACACACGTGTACATTAATTGTTGCACATTAAACCCAGCATTAATTGCACTCTTCGAGAGTTAAGGCTCGGATATCGAGACTGTCTCAGGCAGTTGGATGATCACTCCCCTTCCGAGAGGAGCCTGATCCCCTTTACTTTTCGCATCTTTACATCCGAACACGTTCTAACTTGATCGTCGGAGGCGGAACTCCCACCCATAGGAGTCTCCGTTGTTTTGCAGGTACAAGCGTCCAGAGGTCAGTCTTGGTGTTGTAACTCTCTCGCAGGATATCCAAAAAACCCTGAAACATTTGGCGCCGTCTGTGGGGAGAGTACTTCTAAGATGACTTCACAAGAACCTGTACCGCCTCTTAATGAGAAGCGGCCTATGGCCGATGTCCAGGTCTATACAGACCAGGATACAGATGACGACTGTGAAGTCGACACACACGGCCCCTGACGGGTCCCTGAGAACTAGGCGCATCCGTCCCATCGAAAGGAGGGAACGAAATGGCGAACAAGCGGGCCATAGTGAACCAGTCAGTCATTCAACTGGTCAACCCCAGGCGGTCGAAGGCTCCGTCCCCATCACCAGAAACGAGCTCATGACCCTCATGACAAGTTTCAAAGAGGAAATTAAGGACCTGGTCGATAAACGGATGGATGTCCCTACCAAGGAACAGTCGGCCAAAAAGCCCTCCCATTTTGGGAGGAATAAGCCGGTCAAAGACCGAGAGGCCATTCCTTACCCTAAATCAAGGGAGGGACAAAAGCCCTTGATAAATTTAGCCAGACTTCGGTTCCCTGAGCCAGGGTAGAGGAAGGCCATCCGGCATGTATAGCCGGATGGATCAAAGAAAACTTATTATGATGCCCAGATTTTAATCTAGCAAAAGAAGAACATACAACTGTCGGAGTCGGCTTCAACGTCGAACTTACAAGACAGCTTTCATAATACCTTAATGAGGTATTCACAATCAAACCGAGAGAACCAGACAGGCGGCATATCCTCCCACTCTAGTCCTCAGACGCTCCATGCGGCCCCGTATGCGCCTCAACAGCCGTACATGTCGTATGGACAGCCTTACATGCAGCCGACCCTCTTCGGGGGCAGGCGGCACACAATGTCCAACCCTTGGGCTGGCAGCTTCGACTGCTAAGACTTGGAGAAAAACCCTCTGCGTTCTCCAAGGAAATAACTGAAGCTACACAGCCAGCCAAGGTGAAAAATGTGCTGGTAGGTGCCTATGACGGTACCACCAACCCAGAAGACCACCTGATGGCATACACCAACCTTATGTATCTTCAAGGGCTGGATGATGGCGCATGGTGTAGATGCTTCCCGGCCACATTGAAGGGCATCGCCCAGCAATGGTTCGACAACCTGCCAGCCGGATGCATCAATAATTTTAGGACGCTTGCATACTTGTTTGCGTCCAACTTCTCAATGAACATCCCTGCGAAGAAAACAAGTCTTGACTTGGGAGCTATACAGCAGGGAGAGAAGGAAGGCCTATGATTATACATCAGGCGGTTCAATCTGATGAAAATTCAGATTCAAGGACTGTCTGATGAGGTGGCCTATATAGACTTTTTCAAAGGTCTGAAAGACGAGTCGACTTTCAAGTTCGACCTTGTAAGGAAGATGGTTGTTACCCTCCAAGAAGCATTGATGGAGGCGGACGCCTATATACTGGCGACCGAGCTCTGCAACATCAGTAAATAGTCGGACTCAAAGAGGTCTGACAAAAAAATGAGTCGACCATTACAGCCGGCTAAGAAAGAAAAGAAAAGAAAAGAAGTCTGGGTGGCTGATACTTCTGAATAGCCGCCCAGAAGAAAAAAAAGAGAAACGAAAACGTACTCCCCAAAGTACAAATTCAATAAAGACTGCCAGTCCATCCTCATGGAGATTAAGGATCGAGTGTCCATTGACAAGCCAGCTGCTATGAAAGGTTCCGCCAAAAATCGGAACAAAAACAAATATTGCCACTGGCATGAGGATATTGGCCATGACACCAATGAATGCTTTAGTCTCAAGCGGCTGTTGGACCGTCTGGGTGATAAAGGAGTTCTCAAGTCTTATATTTTGAGGTCCAAGGTTACCCTGCAAACTAACCTTGGGCAGTCGTCTAAGAAGAAGCCACACTCTGCTAATAGTTCGGACACTGAAGAAACTCCGATCTATACAATAGCAGGTGACTTTGCTGGAGGCGGCCCAACGATCCGGGGTAACAAGGACTACATCAGACGGCTCGACGTCAATTCAGTCGACGAGGGTCAGGCGTCCAAGGACTCCTTTCCCGAAGTTGTAATTACTAAGGATAATAGGGGTAAAGTCAGGAGGCCGCATGATGACCCTATTGTCATCGAATGCAAAGTGGCCAACCAAAGAGTTGGCCGAATCCTCATTGATACTGGGAGTTCGTCTGATCTTATCAGTCATAAGTGCCTGGTCAAGCTCAGGTACACGCCCGGGAGCATGCACCAGGTCTCTCATTCCTTAGTGGAATTTGGAGGTGGTGTGGTACATCCGATAGGACGAATAGACCTACCCATTCGTCTAGGCGAAAAACGGGAGGGACGCCACATGGTGGTCCAGTTCTTAGTTGTTGAAGAGCTGACGGCCTATAACATGATTTTGGGGCGACCCACCCTGAATGAATCCAAGGCTATTATCATTCCTTCTCTTATGCTCCTCAAGTTTGAGAGGGATGATTGAACAGTCGGCTCCCTACGGGGAGACCAAAAGATGGCCAGGGAGTGTTATCTCTCTGATGTCAAACCCATTGTGACCCCAGTGGAGAAATTACTGACCTTGACCAAGTCAAGGAAGCCGCACCTGCTGCCACAGCAGCTGGCAAGAAGAGAAAGGCCAGCCAAATGGAGGCCGAGAAAAATGACAAGCAATAGCAATCATTGTTCGGTGAAAGGCCAGATGAACTACGTCCCCAGCCGGCTGGTGAGCACATGGACATCGTTCTGGATGACTCTCGTCCTGAACGAACTGTCAAGCTGGGGACGACTGCTTTTGCTAAACTTGCTGCAGACTTGCACAACTTGTTAAAAGAATTCAAAGACATCTTTGCCTTTGAGGTGGACGAGATGCCAGGCATTAGCCCGGATCTAGCCGTCCACAAGCTTGTTGTGGATCCTAAAAAGAAGCCGGTCAGGCAAAAGAAAAGGAACCATGGGGAAGAACGAAGCCAGGCGGCCGCCGCCGAGGTGAAAAAATTATTAGATGCTGGGTTGATTGGGCAATGCTATTTTCCTGATTGGGTTTCCAATATTGTGCTTATTAAGAAGCCGAATGGAACCCGGTGCGTGTTTGTAGACTACACATACTTGAATAAGGCATGTCCGAAGGATAGCTATCCTCTCCCAAAGATCGACAATCTAGTCGACTCTACAGCCGGCCATGCCTTGATGAGCTTTATGGACGCCTATTCAGATTTTCACCAGATACCTCTATGGAAGAAAGATCAAGAAAAAATAGCATTCGTCACTGATCAGGGGTTATACTGTTACACTGTGATGCCGTTTGGATTGAAGAATGCGCCTGCTACCTTCCAGAGAATAATTAATACAGTCTTCATTAATCAAATTGGAAGGAATGTGGAGGCGTACATTGATGAGTTGATAGTCAAATCCAAATTACAAACGAACCATCTTACAGACCTCCGAGAAACATTCGCCACACTCAGGCGGCACCAGGTCATGCTCAATTCCAATAAGT